GCTCAATCTTTGTAAAATCAATTCAAAAATTGTAAAAAAATCTATGGCTTGCACAAGTATAGAGCTTAAGAGCTCAGAATGGCTTAAGAGCATGCTTCTTTTAGGTTGGTTTATATTGCTGCTGCTTACCCTTACTTTCTTATTTTTTTCTTCTTCTCTAACTTTAACCTCTATGGCTTTTTTTTTCACTTTTTCAACCCTAATCAAGTTGTCAATTTATTTCCTAATCCTTTTTTTCATTGTCCTGATATAGCATTGTCGTGCTACGGACTAATCTCCCTTAACTTTTTTAATCCTATGAAGTATTGAAAACTTTACTTTCAAATGGAGAGTTGAACCTATGAGCCTTATAACAGACTAACTTGGTCAGTCCAATATCATATTATAAGCTAATGGGATGTTTATAACCATTAACTCTATAACCGAGGTGACCGTTTTCGATTCTGTACCAAAAAGATTGGTAGCTTGATAGTTCTTTTGGTCGACACCTATTCATTCCCAAATTAGATCAATGTAGTGGTAATCAGTTAAGTTATCTCTATTGATTCTCATTTTCTTCATGGTATCATAGTATAAGACATCGCTCGAGCTCCTAATCCTTTTAGTCACATAATTATACACTACTACTATAATTAATATGGTGTCATTAAAAAGATGTTGGGTTCCCTTTAGATCTTTCGCATTGAAGTAGATTAGTTCATCTTTTCAGTCATTTTCTCTTTTAGCTAAGGAGCTAACTGCCATAACCAAGCCCTGACTAAATTTTCTTTTGGTCAAAATAAAGCTCCCCCAATAATTACATTAATTATGCTTGCAATAGGTTGATTATCTATAACTTAGCCTTTGTTCTCCTTTTGCTCATTTCTCTGATTTTGACCACCCTTATTGCTTTCTTCTCAGTGCTTTAGGTTTTTTTTTATCCATTTTTCTTTAATCCTTTTTCTATATTTCATGCTGCCTTGACCTTATCTCACTTAGTGCATAAGTCTATCCAATTGGCCTCTCTTGATTAGATTTTTTATTTCATTATTTAGGTCGACATAGTTTTTTATATTATGACCAATGTTTCTGTGGAAAGTACATCTCTTGGTTAAGTCTCTTATAGTATTCTACCTCAGTAGTTTTGGTTATCTGAGCTCTGAGTCTTTTTTATTTGCACCAAAATCCTCTCTCGGAAGGTATTCAATATAGTGTAATTCCTTTCTCTACATAGACTCTTGTCCCTGTGTTTTCTCTTTCTTGAAAGAGGATCATAAAATTTTTTACCTTTTTTTTTACCAAAGAGGTAGATGACCTTCTCTCACCTTGATTGTTTTTCATGGTAGCTTCAGCATTTATATATATTTCAACCATGAGTAGGATATCGACTAGTGTCATTAGTGGCTCTAGAGACAAGGTGAGCTTAAGGTGGTACTCTCTATCACTAAGTCTGCTAGTCAAGGTGGTTACAATGGCCATTTGCTTTAAATCTTTCACTTGTAGAGCTTGCACGTTAAAATGCATGATGTAATTTGCTTAAGACTCATTTTTACCTTGATAGATTGACATCAAGCTTAGAGTAGTTTTCTTAATTCTTCTACTGCTGATGAAACGAAAGAGGAAAGAGTGGCTAAGCTTTTTAAATGTGGTAATCAACCTTGACTTGAGGCTACAGTACCAGAACCAATTTGCCCATTTGAAAATTGTGGTCAATCTTTTGCACATCAGGGCTTTATCTACACCTTACAACATCATGTTAGTTCTATAAAGTTCTAAATGATCAAAGTGATCATATGTACCATCATATGTTTCTAAAGTCGACATTTTAAATCCCTTTAAGGTTATGATTCTATCAATTTCCTTGGTGAAGAATGAGGTCTCGAGGAATTTCAGTTCATCCTTAAAAGTGACAGCTTTTTTCCTCAGTTTTTTTTTCTATAGCCTGTATTATAGCGTCCAAGTCTTTGTTCGGTTGGGATTATAATTCAATTTATTTAGATTTTTATGTTGTTGCATGGGGTGAAGTTGTGGCTTGGATAATGGTGATAAATGATTGGGGTAGGTTGTTACTCTTTCCTAAAGGCTGAAAAGGCCTTTACTTCTTCATAGCTTGGTTGTCTTTCTATAGGTTATCTACCAATGGTGACCAGGTCGGGTACTTTTGAAGCTTGGGTTGGCATTATGGTTTGCAACATCTGTTTTAAGGCTTGAATTTGTTCGGTCAAGGCTTAGAATTGTTTCATGATTAGCCTCACCTGTGGTAGCAAAGGTCGGTTTATATGCTGGCTATTGTAGGTTTCGATCCTAGCCGTGACAACTGTTTTTCCTTCTTCATTAACTCTTTTTTTGGGTGGCATTGTGTTTAGCTCAACTAAAGAATAATGCCCTTGGTGCCAAACTTCGAGCTAAGGGTTAAAAACCTATAATCATAAGAAAAGAAAAAAGTAGTTAGTAAAGGTAAAAAGTGTTTTCGATGTCTGCACTCCGACATTCAAATCAAAATTTGATATAAAAAAGGTCAAAAGGGGAGGAAAATAAAGATGTAATAATAGAATGGAAATTGAATGATAGTACTCGAATGTCTCTGTTTATAAGCGAAGGGTCTGTGGGACAAGAAGGTGACATAGCCAAGTTGACGTGTCACTCTACATATCTTGTCGGGCTAATATGTCAGTCAGCTCAATAATTGAAAATGCCTTTTATATGCCCTTTTATTGCTTTTTATTGCTTTTTTTACCTTTTTTAATATTAAATAAACTTTTTTCTCTTTAAATTTTTTAAAAGTGGGACTTACCTTATAGCTTTTTTTTGCATTTTTTTTTCTTTACAATTTTTTATAAATATATTTTTAAAGATTTTAAATTTCTTTTTGTATGAAACCTACCTAATATCAAGATATGCAACATATTTGTTTTTTGTTTAACTTTTTTCATTTTTCTATTTTTTTATATATTTAATAAATATTTTAAAGATTTTAAATTCTTTTTTGTGTGACCTACTTGATACCTAAGGTATGTCATGTGTCAAGTTAATTACTTCATTTTTTTTCTTTTTATTTTCCTTTTCTAATATTTTATGAATATTTTTTAATATGATAAAATTTTTTAGTGATGGTCGTATGATATTATTGATTAAAAAGTATTTTTTTCTTTTTTTATTATCTATATTTTATTATCTATTTAATTTTATGTTTATATATATATTTATTATATTTATTTATTATTTGGTATTTTAATTGAAGATATTAATATTTTAAACTCGATTTAAATGTTCATATAATAGCTCAATGATCTCTCTTTTCCCTTTTCCTTTTTTTTTTTCTCTTTTTCTTTGTTTATTTATCTTTTTTCACTTAATTATCTTTTGTGATTTTTAATTAATTAATTTATTATTTGATACCTTAATTTGATATATTAATATTTTAAACTTAATTAGAATAATGAATGTCACATTATGCCTAATGAGTTTGATTTTCCTTTTTCTTTACTTTTCTTTATGTTTTTCTTTATGGTTTTTTAAGTTAAATTAATTTTGTGAAAAAGGAAAATCAATAAAAATGCCTGCATGGCACCCCTAATTGACTTTTTATCTTTCATATTTTTATTTTTTTATTAGATAAATTTTAAAATAAAAGTATTAATTTATAGAAATAAGAAAATAATTCGTTTTTAACGGATTTCGATCCATTATAATCCAATAAGGATAATTTTTTTAAATCGAAATGAGCTTAAGACTAAGTTGAGTTTTTTTAGAGAAAAGAAATCGAAGTAGAAACGTGATTAGGATACTCTATCTCAACTCATTTTTTTTTATATATAAAAATATATATATTCTATTTTTTAATTTATTATATACATTATACCAATAAAATTATTATTACATACTTTAATTTTAGAAATTAATCTTTTAAGCTCAATGGGAGTGTCTATGTAACATCCTCTATAATTTTTGTATTTTTTGTGTTTCCTTTTCTTTTTTCTGATTTGTCTTTTATATTTTATATTTTTTTAATTAGATAAATTTTATAAGAAAAATGAGATCATTTGAAATATTATTGTGCTACCCCCATTTGAATTTTGTTGATCTTTCATATTTTTTTAATTAAAAAAATTTTGTAATAAAAATAATATTTAAAAATAGCAAAAAAAAAAGACCTGCGACATCACTAGGGACGGCAAACTAACCCGTCTCCGACGGGTTCCAGCCTGACTCGACCCCACAAGGTCGATTTTTTTTTTTTAATTTGGATTTCGGGTCGAGTCGGGTCGAGTAAAATAAAAAAAAACAATTGGGGTCGGGTCGGGTCGGGTTCAAGTTTACCTAAAACCCGACCCAACCCGATCCGATATTATGTAAAAAATTATTTTTTAATTAAGTATTTAATTTTTTATTATATATATTTATATAATGATATTTTTAAATATTTATATTTAAAAAATAATATTTTATTTTTAAAAAAAATAATATTTTATTAATTTCGGGTCGGGTCGGAACGGATACGATTTACATGGCATCGAGGTCGGGTCGGGTTCGAGTATGAAAAAAAAAATTTCGGGTAGGGTCGAGTTCGGGACGAGCAAAACCGGCCCCGAACCCGACTGGATGCCAACCCTAGAGATCACCCCTATATTTTACTAATTTAGTTTAAAATTTATACATTTTCCTTACCTACTACAAAATTGGCGACAAGCCGGGATTATTTCAGGTCGGCCAACATTTGAGTTTTGGGAGACATTGTCTAGTAATAATGGTGAAAGTAGAGGTTTCTTGTAAACAAAACCAGCAGTTTGAAATGGAGAAATAATTTTCTTTGGTGTTGTTTAAATGTTAAAAAATTCATTTTTTTTGTGCTACTACTTTTGTGTTGGTACTCTTTTCAACCATAAATTACTGGAAACATACACTTCGAATTTAAAGATGAGTACCATGAAGGGAGAAACAATGAATATGAAAGCCCTATTAAACCAGAACCAGGTATTCAATCTTGAACAATTTCACCGGATTATAGACCCAATCTTTCTATATTAGGATAAAATGGAATTACTTGCCTAGTGAAAGAAGATGCAAAACAATACCTGGAGTAAAGAAAAATCTATGCCATAAAAATAGTCTCAAGAGGCATTCACTGCCCGGCGGATGATATTAGGTCCCTCAATTATGCGTTGAATATGGCTAAAATAAAACCAAAATATATGCCATTTGAAGCCAATCTGGCAAATTTCAGTCGATTTCAGCTGTCGTTGACATGCCTTTGCCATAAAGAAAAATGGCATTCATATTTTGTTCAACACGAGCTTGAAGGCCAACGATCATATGATCATCAGGGGTTAAAAATTCTAAAAACTTTGCACCAGCACAGGAACAAACTTTAGCCCGAGTAACAAAATCCTTGACTCGTTCTTTATAAACGTATTCTAGAACAAACCCAAAAAAAGTCTGCCTGCAATCAATTTCTTAGGCTAATTCCTCCTGGATTTGACCTTCTGCAACAGTAGAAAGATCTCATAAACATCCAGAAATAAATTGATTAAAAATAAAACTGCAGAAATGTTAAACCATATCCTGCAAGCCTCACCAGCAAGTTTGACAGCCAAGTTGGCTTGAGCATCAGCCTCGGCATTCAATTTCTTTTAGAGGAGAGGTGAGCAAGAAATGCAATCAGAAGGCAAAAGTGGCAGCAAAAGAATCTTATTCAGAAATGTATTTGTATCACCCAAGCTTTAAAAACAAAGTTATAAAACACCAGCAATGGTATAACAAAGAGGCGATTGTGGCGCTAGAAAAAGAAACAATTATTCTACCCATTGCATAGCTATCAAGAATAGAAACTGGTCATACCCTTAAAATATGATTGATCTGGAATGAAAGAAAATTATTTTTCAGTTTCAGTGCTTGCTCACACAACTCAGACATGTGCTCATGTTTGACTCTCCATAAACCCTGTATCTGTTCAAGGAAATAACAGCTATAAGCATACTTGAACAAAAGAGAAATGAAACTGCTTAGCTTGAAATGATAATACTTCAATAAAATGGAAAAGTAAACTAAATAGCTCTAAGATTTAGACCCTTATTTGAAGGCCCAGGAATATCAACACTTGAGCTACAAGTTTGTCCAGAGTAACAGGACAGACAAAAAGTAACAAAAAATTTCTTTCTTTTTTCTTTTATTTTTTGGAAGAGAGGGAGTGTTATAACAGGAAAGACTCTAAATCAGATTAAACACTTTTCCTATAGAACCAAGTTGAGAAGGAAAATTATGACTTTCTTATTTTAATAGTTTGTGGGGAAAAGGGGAGGAAAGGGAATGTTCTTCCCTGCAAGACCAACTAGCTAAGGGAACAACCGTCTAAAGGCTACAACTCAAAACATCTAGTCCAAACTAATGGGGTCCTAAAATGAGGAGTCTACTAGCTCACTAATCGAAGTCCGAGAAGAGATTGAAAAGGAATTGGCATACTGCATTTGTTCTAAAGTATTAGCCTAGTTCCCAACATTGTCAATCCAGAATTTTCTTTCTGAGAAAAATAACATCAACAAAGCAACAATAAACTGATAAAAAGTTAGAATACCTGCATACAAACGAGCTTTGAGTCACCTTTAACAGAAATGCTTGTATAACCTTTTTTAAGAGCATGTTTCAACCCTAAAATTATGGCACGATATTCAGCAGCATTACATGTTGCTATGCCCAAACCCTCACGCAATTTGCAAATCTGTTCAAATATCATATTATGGAGAGAAGTGGTAGTTGTAAAGATACAATTTCTAGATGGTGAATTGCATACCACATTTCCAGCATCAGTTCTCAACACAGCTCCTGCACCAGCTGGTCCAGGATTTCCTTTTGATGAACCATCAAACTCAAGAATACAGGACTGCTGCCATAAATACATAAGTTCAGGCATCAGAGCCTATTTTTGGAGCATAAAACTATCACTTTATCCAGTTAAATTAATTCAGAAACCCTTTACTATCCTCCCTCTCACTCTTTGCTTGAAAGAAACCCTCTTCTATCTGATGAATAAAAAACCTAATAGCCGGATCTTAAAGCAAGAAGCCCTCTAGTTTTAGGAACTAGATTCAACCGTTGACTTGAAAAAATAAATAAATAAACAAAGAAAAGACAATGGCCTTCACTGACTATTTTTTATTGCATCTGCTCAATTCTCTGAACTAAGATGATGCCTATATTCACCTGCATACATCAGGTGTTACCATCAAATCTACTTATACGATCAGAGGATGCTATTTGAACCTGAGCATGACGATCCAACTTGATATGCTTTCTCACATGATCAGCTACAGCTACTGAACCAAGTGCTCCCATTCCCTGCAAAAGGTTAAAGGTATAACGCAAAAAATAATGTTACATTCAATCATATGTGTGTGCATGAGTATTAATGATGATGTTGTAGCTCAGGAAAAATTACAACTGCCAACCTACCCCATGCTCTGATTCAAACAAATCCTGTGATCTCTTTTTGGTCGCATCATTCTGAGATGCTTCACACCTGGAAGAAGCTGGTTCCTTAAACCCAGAAAGAAATGGGAACATTAACCTTCAAAATTATAAGAGCCAATATCTTCACCTTCTGTGAATGGTTTGAAACAGTCTTTGTAACAAAGTGAGCATGTGAAAGAAGTCAAAGTACAATAGATTGATGGCAAAGTACAATAGATTGATGGCCTATTCAAGTAGACCAGATTACTAGGGAGATGCAACTTTTAGGTGAAATTGCTGTCAAAAGAATTCATTCAAGTAAACAAAGGCATGGTGCATGTGCAGAAAGAGGGAGACAAGGTCAAAATCTTTTTTGAGCACAGTCCTCTATAAACAAACAGAAAATTCTCCATCTGCATAAGGTTCAAGCTTAAGGTCCCACCTGGAAAGTGCAGGGAATAAGTGCTCCGAAAAGATCCTCTGTCACATCTGCAGCTTTAATAGTGTAGAGGGCATTCTTAAGCCCGCAGGAGGAGAGATATTCCTCAGTGTCCTTTGCCAAAGAGTAGCCTTTGTATACACTGACAGGAGGATCACATATCCACTCCAAAAAGAACAATAACAAGTCGATGTCAAAGTTAAACAGAAGAGAAAGCATCTAAATTTTAAACATTACTATGTTATTGCATTAGGATTATTATTTTAAATTTTAAAAAGTACATAAATTACCATAATGCAATAACATAGTATAGCTCCATAAATAACCATAAGAGAGCGAGAAGAAATACCAAGGATCCAACTTGGGCCTGACAATCAGCAAAGCTCTTGTAAACACCAACAACATCTCCCTTTCGCACTACAAAGAATGCATCGTTATCGTTTTTCATCATCGGTTCAGGATCGACTTTTTTGGTCCTAGATGCTTTTTTTCCAGGGTTACTCTTGTGGGAAGAGTAGCACTGAGCCCGAAATCTTGTCAAGAGAAACACTAAATCAACAGTCTTAATACCCGCGTGCTCAAAATTTCTTTTCGGTAAGGGAACATGGCACTGGTTCAAAGTACTAGTTGCAATGAAATTACCAGCTTTTCTGAATATAGCCGAACCGTAAGCACGCATTTGTGACAAGCAGTTCATCAGAGAGTAAATTTATCCAGATTGTCCAAATTTCCAGAGGTAAATATATATATATATATATATATATATAAATATATAAATTTCTAATTATATAATAACTACCAATAACAACCTTTCTGTAGTATTATGTTTTAATTGTTTTGCCCAAATAAAACCGATGAAAAAAAAGTGATCTTGGTATCTCCTTTTTTTTCAGCAATTGTTATAGAAAAGGTAGTAACTGGAAACTCTAGGTAGGAATTGACGAGGAAAACAAAGACAAAAGGGCACTTGGTAATGCCTTTCGGCCTGACCAATGCACCCTCTGCCTAACAAAACTTGATGAATAGCTTGTTTAAGCTGTGTTTGATGATATTTGTGTTAGTTTTCTTCGAGGACATCTTGATTTACTCAACTGGATGGAAACTACATTTGGAACATTTTAAGACGGTCTTTGAAGTCTTTAAGATCAATTAACTTTCCCTTAAAAGAAGCAAATGTGAATTTGGGCTCATGAGGTAGAGTACTCGGGGAATGTGATCTCGGGTAAGGGAATTTCTATGGACATCAAAAGGGTCTCGGGTGTGTTGGACTGGGCAGCACCTAAGTTTCTTAAGGAGTTGAAGAGGATTTTTAGGGCTTACGGTTACTACAGGAGATTCATTAAAGATAATGGTGTCATTGCTAAGCCCTTAACGGATTTACTTAGAAAGTATGCTTTTGGGTGGTGTGAACACGCACATGTAGCTTTTACCAAGCTGAAAAAAGCTATAACCACAGCTTCTACGCTAGCTCTCCCTGATTTCTCTCAAGATTTTGTTATTGAAACGGATGCTTTTGGAACATGTGTGGGTGCTATTTTAACCCAGGAAGGTCGGCCATTGGCTTATTTTAGTAAGGCCTTGTCCCGGAAGCACCAAGCCTTATTTGTCTATGATAAGGAGATGATGGCAGTCTTGATGGCAGTCTTGATGGCAGTCTTGGCAGTGAAAAAATGGAACGCCTACTTGGTTGGACGACACTTTAAAATTAAGACAGACCATCAAAGCCTTAAGTTCTTATTAGATCACCAAGCTACTACGCCAGTCAACAGCTTTAGGTCACCAAAATGATGGGTTATGATTATGAGGTTTGTTACCGAAAGGGAATTACGAATACCATAGCTCACTTACTTTCTAGACAACCCAAAGACACTGAAGCCGGTTTACTGGCAGTCACTACTATGGACATAGACTTGTTAGAGAGAATTAAGAGATCATGGAAGCAAGATCCTGGAACCCAGAAGTTGGTCACAGAGTTGCACCACACTCCAAACTCTAGCTCAAAACATACATACCATGGTCAGTTGCTTAAGAGGAAGGGCAAATTGGTGGTAGGCAGTGACATGGATTTAAGGAAAGAACTTCTTCACTATTTCCATAATACCCCAACTGGAGGGCATTCGGGCATACAAGCGACCATGAATTGGATAGCGGGTATATTGTATTGGAAGGGTTTGAAGAAGGAAGTTAAGAGATTTGTTAGGGAATGCTTGGTCTGCCAACAGCATAAGTATGACACTGCAGCAAGTACTGGGTTGTTACAGCCACTTCCTATACCTAACAGAGTGTGGACAGACATTTCCATGGATTTTGTTGAGGGTCTTCCTAAATTTCATGGTAATGATGTCATAATGGTGGTTATGGATCGATTAAGTAAATATGGCCATTTTATTGCCCTTGCTTATCCCTTTACTGCCTTGACAATAGCCCAAGCTTTTATGGATAATGTCTATAAGCTTCATGGGATGACAAATAGCATCGTCTCAGTTAGAGACAAGATATTTTTGAGCCATTTGTGGCAGGAGTTGTTTAAACGACATGGCACTGCTCTTAACCTCTCAACTTCTTATCACCCTCAATGCGATGGCCAAACAGAAGTAGTTAATAGGTGTTTGGAGACCTATTTACGATGCATGACGAGCGAAAAGGCTAAGGAATGGAGTCAATGGTTAGCACTTGTAGAATGGTGGTACAACACCAATTACCATACTGCAACACATACTACCCCTTATGAAATTATCTATGGTCAACCAGCTCCTGTCCATTTGCCTTATCTATTCGGAGACTATTGTTGGTACGATTGACAGAAGCCTTCACGCTAGAGTGGCATCCATATAGATGTTTAAATTCTACGTCCAGAGAGCTTAAGTAAGAATGAAGAATTTGGCTGACAAAGGAATAACTGATAGGGAGTTTGAACCAGGAAATTGGGTATATGTGAAATTGTAACCATACAGGCAAAAATCTGTTGTTAAAATGAGCTATCTAAACCTTCTACAAAGTATTTTGGTCCCTTTCAGATAACTGAAAAGGTTGGAAAGGTGGCCTACAAGTTATAGTTGCCTTCAGGATCTAAAGTGCACCTAACTTTTCTCGTGTCCCAGCTCAAAAAACACATTGGACCTCTTCCTAAACAGTCTCTACTTCCACTGGTACGAGAGGATGGCACCATTTATAAAGAACCGAAAATGATCATTGACAGATGAATTGGAAAGAAAGGTAACAGGGCTATCACTAAAGTCTTAGTGCAATGGTCCAATACGTTCCTAAAAGATGCAACTTGGGAGGTTCTACATGATTTGCAGCAGAAATTTCCATTATTCAATCCTTGAGGACAAGGATTGTTTTCAGGGGCAGGGTATTGATATATGCGGTATAACAGTGCAACTGGTTATTACCGTTATATTTAAATAATTGTAATTGGGCTGGTCAAGAGGCCTAATCAGTGTGGTGTTTTAGCCCATGCAGGTTAAGAGAGTCATTTCATTGTATAGACAATTCTGTTATAGGTTGGAAGAACTTATCCATAAGACATAAAAAATTATAAAATTATCATTGATCTTTTTTAGTTAGGTGTAATCGATTATTTGATTGAATCTATCATATTTAAAAAAAATTTCAAACTTGATTAGAATATTTTTAAAAAGTAGATTCTAGTATACAAAACTAGATTTTATATTCAGGAATACCATTATACGTGAGGAATATTATAGTTATCTTATAGTATCCATCAAAAGGATGGTATCAGTTTGATTTTAAATTATCCAAGCTTTGAAATATTTTTATAATTTTATTAAGTAATTTAATTATTAGAAATTGATTTTAAAACTACTCAAATAGTTTGGTAATAATTTAAAATAATTTTCTCACCTCAAAATTATTCATAGAGACTAATGTCCCACTCTAAAGAGGTTTTATTGTCAAGTTCATTAATATATTTTACTTAGAAAATAATCAGTAAAATCTTTAATAGTTTGGTAATATTTTACTTTGATACAGATCTCCTAATAATTTAGTGAGATTTTATTTGAAAATCAATTATAAAATTTACTTTGAAAAAATTCATTAAATCTTTCAATAATTTAGTAAAATTTAATTCAAAATTTTATTCTTTAATAGTTTAGTAGAATTAAAAAATATATTATTTTATTTAAAAAATTTATTAAATCTTTCAATAATTTAATAGTATTTAATTCAAGATTTTAATCCTCTAATAATTTGGTAAGATTGAAAATTTATTTATTTTTTATAAAATTTTATTATAAAATTCTCCAATAATTTGGTAAAATTCATAAAATAATCTAGATCAATGAAAATCTTTCAATACTTTAATAAAATTAAGATCAAAATCTTTTCGATTCATAAAATTTTCCATATTTTATTTTATCTAATATTATGCACATACAAAATATATAACGAAATAATATACATATAAAACCAAATATAAAAAATTACCTAAATAGTTTGGGCTCAACTCAAAATGAAATCCAAGATAAACATCAGACTAAATATAAACTTGGGCTCGTGAATAGCTTAGACGACTGGGCCCTGATTAGTTCAAATCTTGGTTTGCTTAGTACGGTCTTGGATAAATTTGTCAGGCCTAAGATAAAATTCATCACAGGCTAGCAGGCGGGTTTCGAAATTGGGTTGGGTTACAAAACGGGCTGAGATGCGGGTTAAAAGAACCTGGGTCCCTAATGCCAAAACGTTGCTGTTTTTACCTTGTATATGAACCCAAATTGTACTCCTCTTTCATTTTTAATTTTTTGCTTACCTCTGGAATTCCTTTTCTCCTCCACTTCTATCTAACCAGAACCCTAATCAAAAGCTAGGAACCCGTGACGTTGCCCCTTCCTGCCGTCAGTTGACGCCAGAGACTACGGCTGGCCCGGGGCCAAAAACCTTACTCCTTCGCTCTCTATTCTTCTCTTTACCGCAAATTCAAGAACAAACAACCGGTTCGCCCGCCCAAACCCAAATACCAATAGAATCCGTGACCGTCGCCTACCATCGCCATATGAAAATCAAACTACTTCTTGAACCACCAGTCGCCGTCGAAATAGCCAAGGATTTCCCTTCTCTTTAGCTTCTTCATTCTGCCTCTGTTTAATTTTGATGGGTTTTGTTTTCTGAGTTGAAGCTTTTGATTGCTTGTCTTGCTTTTGATTTGCAGGTTTCAGGTTTGGTGAGTTGATGAGTTTGCTTCGGGCTTTTCTGCTGGCTATTGGGTTTGCAAGGTTGCCTCTGGGTAGAATTTGGGTTCCTGGGAATTTGGTTTCGAAGAAGAGTGTGGGCAGATGTGGATGGTGAGCGTGGCTACTTGCTATAGCCGAAATCAATGTGTTGCCTTGCTCTGTTGAATATTTTTGCCCCCCTCCCTTGATCAGAGATTTTTTTTTTTTTTGTTATTATAATGAAATTCATGCTAAATCAATTCCCCCTAAATCT